GAGAGACTGGGAGGTCAAGTCTGATCGGAATGGGAAGGATGCACCTGAGCGGAGACTAGGAGGGGAAAACTGTAGGTTTTCTAGAAGTCATGTACAGATGTGAGAGTTGGACTGTAAAGAAAGCTGACCGCTGGAGAATGGATGCTTTCCAACTTTGGGGCTAGAGAAGACTCTTGAGAGTCCCTCGGACTGCAAAGAGATCCAACCAGTCCATCCTAAAGGAAACCGGTCCTGAATATTCATTGGAAGGACTGATGCTGAAACTCTAAAACTTTGGCCACCTGATGCGAAGAGCTGACTCATTGGAAAAGACCCTGACGCTGGGAAAGATTGAGGGCAGGAGGAGAAGGGGACGACAGAGGATGAGATGGTTGGATGGCATCACTGACTCAATGGACATGGGTTTGAGTGGACTCCAGGAGTTGGTGACGGACAGGGAGGCCTGGCGTGCTGCAGTCCATGGGGTCGCAGAGAGTTGGATGCGACTGAGCGACTGAACTGAACTGGAAGGTTAGCTTGTTAGTCCAGCCCTCCCCTGCCACCAGGAAGCCCTGACCTAAGAGTCTGCCCACAGGCTGACTTGCCTGGGGAGACTGACGCTCCAATAAATGGGCAAAGCAGCTGGGTGGGGTCCTGGGGAACTATTCAGTGTGAGCATTTTTAAAAGAGAGGCTAGAAATACGGATTTTAATATGAAACCTCCCACAGCTGAGGGACAAGAACCCCCTCACCTCCCCAAGTAAAACACCCACGGTCCCTGAGGCTGCCAGCCTTCAAACCCTTTCTGAGCACCTGGCTGAAGAGACTTGGGGGGACCCTCTGAGACTGGAGTGGGGAGTGTGGGGCTGGGGGTTGGATCAGTCTAGGGTATCTGAGGCACAGAGGACGTTAACTGATGAGTTACGGAGGACGAAAAGCTTCACTGACCTCTTCAAGGTCACAGTCAGAGCACGTCATGGAGAGAGGTTGCGACTGAAAGGTGATGAGCCTGGGAGCAGAAAGCTGAGATCTGGCCTTGGCTCCGAGCGAGATTGCTGTGTGACCTTGGGCAAGCCCCTTGCCCTCTCTGAGACTCTGTGACATGACTGAAGAGGCTCTATCAACACTTCTGGCTTTCTAAGCTTTGCTGGGATGGGCACCTGTCCCTCCCCTGAGCAATTGGTGGGGGGAGAACTTGGGGGACAAAGCCCCGCCTCCTCCCCTGGACCCTGGGAACAGCAGGAGGTCTAATCTGCTGTTGACATTCCGCTGGGTCTAGGGGCTTGGGTTTCTCTGGGCCTGTGTGATCCTCCGGCCCCCTGCAGCAGGCAGACGCTGGGGTGGAGCACTTGCTCATTGTCACTCCGGGATGGATTAGGGACCCAGGGGCCAGGGGACTGGGGGGTGCTCAGAAGAGAGGAACTGGAAGTGGGGCTGAGGGGCAGCTGCTGGCTGCGGGCTCTTCTTAGTTTGTGGGGAATGTGCTCAGATAGCTAGGCTGGGTCTTGGAGGTGCCAATCACTCATACAATCAACAGATGCTAACTGAGCACCTACATGTGCCAGGGTAAATATGAAACCAACAGTCCGCACTGTTTCACCATTATTATCCTCATTTAACAGAGCGGGGAAGTGAGGCTCAGAGAGGGGAGGTGACTCACCAAGGTTGTTAGGTGAGGTGAGGGGATTTGAACCCAGGCAGCCAGACTCTCAAACCTGCACTTTCAAATCACTGCAAATGGTGACTGCAGCCATGAAACTAAAAGATGCTTGCTCCTTGGAAGAAAATCTATGACAAGCCTAAGACAATGGATTAAAAAGCAGAGACGTCACTTTGCTGACAAAGGTCCGTCTAGTCAAAGCTGTGGTTTTTCCAGTAGTCATGTATGGATGTGAGGGTTGGACTATAAAGAAAGCTGAGCACTGAGGAATTGATGCTTTTGAACTGTGGTGTTGGGGAAGACTCTTGAGAGTCCCTTGGACTGCAAGGAGATCCAACCAGTCCATCCTCAAGGAGATCAGTCCTGGGTGTTCATTGGAAGGACTGATGCTGAAGCTGAAACTCCAATACTTTGGCCACCTGATGCGAAGAACTGACTTATTTGAAAAGACCCTGATGCTGGGAAAGATTGAGGGCAGGAGAAGGGGACGAAAGAGGGTGAGATGGTTGGATGGCATCACCGACTCAGTGGACATGAGTTTGAGCAAATTCCGCTAGATAGTGAAAGACAGGGAGGCCTGGCGTGCTGCAGTTCGTGGGGCTGCGAAGAGTCGGACACGGCTGAGCAGCTGAAGAACAGCACGTGGACCAATGTGGCAGGTGGAACCCAAGAGCGATGGAGGTCACCGAGGGGTGTGGCCTGGGCTCCGGGGAAGCGTGGGGTGGGGTGGTCGATGTAGCTCTGAGGGGCTCCCCAGGAAAGCTGGCACTGGTGTCCTGGTGAGCGTCAGTGAGGACTGGGGGGCACTGGGCAGCCTTCAGTGGGGCCTGGTTTGGGCTTTGAACAGCTCTCTCCCAGCGTGGTTCCTTGGAGGCAGACCTGAGCGGGGCTGTTCTGAAGACCAAGCCTTGTGTTTCAGGTGCTGACCTAGGTGTCTGCACGCTGGCTTCTAGGCACCCATGGGTGCTGACATCACAGCGTGAAAAGAGGGCTCACATGGTCTGTAAAGGCTGTTCCTCTCTGTCTGAGCTGTGCCTGGGCATCCCTCGGGCTGCAGAGGCTCCTCTCCTCTCTCTTCCTTTCCCTTCATCAGCACGTTGCTGTCCGAGACTCCGTTTCTCTGCATCGCGTCTTCATGGTGAGGGTGAAAAGGGAAACCCTGTAGAACGCGCCCTGTGCAGCCTGGCACATCGGCTTCATGCATGCGTGCATTCATTCACTCATTCCCTCATTCACATAGCGGGCTGGGTACTCTTCCAGGATCCGAGAGCATCATGGGCAACACTCTTTACTCAGGGATGCCGGGCCTGATATGCGTTTTTTGTGCGTACTTGTGTTCGGTTTTTTTGACCGTGCTGGGTCTTTGTTGTGGCTTGTGGGCTTCTTGAGTTGCGGCACGCAGGCTCCAGAGTGCTCAGGCTTAGTAGGTGTGGTGCTGGGCTTAATTGCCCCACAGCATGTGGGGTCTTAGTTCCCCAACCAGGGATCGAGCCTGCATCACCTGCGTGGGAAGGTGGATCCTTAACCACTGGACCACCAGGGAAGTGCCCAGGTCTGATGTTGAGTGCTGTGTTCATTTCCAGTGCTTCCCAGGTGGTGCTGGTGGTCAAGAACCTGCCTGCCGATGCAGGAACTGTAAGACTCAGGTTCGATCCCTGGGTCTGGAAGATCCCCTGGAGGAGGGCATGGCAAGCCACTCCAGTGTTTTTGCCTGGAGAATCCCCACAGACAGAGGAGGCTGGCGGGCTACAGTCCATGGGGTCACAAAGAGTCAGACAGGATGGAAGTGACTTAGCACCCATGTTCATTACCTCATTTGCTTCCCACCAGAACTCCAGTATACTGCCAGCATGCCCATTCTGCAGATGGGGCATGGAAAGGCTAGTTCCTAAGTGGCAGAGCTGGGGTCTGAGCCTAGGTCAGCCTGGAGGCAGAGCCCAAGCCCTAGTCCATACTCCACCCTTGAACTGATTCTCCATCCTGCACGCCGTGCCTAGGAATGAAATCTCAGAGCTGGTTTCTCAGGGCCTTGAGAAGGAACACTTCATGAGGCCAGGGACTCTGTCTGATTCTGCTCACCTCTCAGGCCTCCTCACCAGGCTCAGTAGGTATTTGAGAAACAAATAGGTGAATGCACAAGGGGATGAATGTCTGTCTGGGCCAGGACTCCTAGAAACACTGGAGGGGACGCTGTGGGCCATTCTTGGGCCGGCGCCAGGCCCAAGGACCCTCTGCCTTGCGGCTTGGCCGTGGAGGATGCTCTGTCTGGCCTCTCCACTCCCCAGCCTCTCCCAGGACTCACAGGGCTTGTGGCTGTGGGCCCGCAGCAGGTTCCAGAAGTCCTCGGATAGAATGTCAGTGGCTGAGCCCTTGAAAATCTGATCTCACCCCAGCCCACCTCCCTAAGGTATCCCCCAGACCATCAATCAGCAGCAAGACACGATCATATTTTATGGCCAGGCCAGGGAGGGGGCTGGCATGAAACCCAAGCCCCCGCTCTGCCTGGGGTCCTGCCTGCTTAGGAGGATCAAGGCAGCCCCGGGCAGAGCCTTAACCCTTTGTGCGCCTGTTCCTGCCAGTGGTGGGCACAGCTCTCCCGCAAACCCTGCCAGACTAGATCCCTTGTGGGGTAATGGAGGGACTTGATGGAAAGGTGGGAGGATGTACTGGGGTCCTGACTACCCCCAGGAACTTGCAGGAATGCCTGTGGATTAGAAGATGGTTCCGGCTCGAGGTCTGTGCACTCGTGGCTGTGTGACCTCGGGCAGGTTGCCTCCTCTCTCTGGGTTTACTCATCAGCTCGAAGCTGGGAATCTCAACAGCCTCCTGCTTCCCTTATTAGGGTTACCCTTGTGTCTTTAACAGGGGTGAAATTTGATTCTTGGCCCTGGGCCCCACCATCTTTATAGCAAGATCCTTCCTAGACCCGTGGAATAGTTTTATCCATAGTAAGAGACTCTTAGCTCTTTCAAAGATGGAGCTCTTTCAACTTCCTTTTTACAGACAGGGAAGCTAAGGCCCAGATAGGAGTTTCCTTCATCCCAGGTCACAGACAGTGTGGAGCTGGTAGACTTGGGCGGAGGAAGTGGAGAGGCTTGGAGGTGGCCTGAAGGCGCTGCTCTGACTTGGAGCCTTGAGAATGACCTGGGAAGGAGACCACGTGGGCTCCCAGAGAACCGAGGCTGGTGGGAGAAACCCAGGGTGAAGAGTCTTGTTAGCATTACGAAAGAGGCTTGGTGACCTCCCCCCACCCCGCCCCCGCCGCCGCCCCGGTGAGCCGGTCCTTGGGCAGAAACTTGCCTGGGTGACCTTGGAGCCCGCTTTATCGTCCCTTGAATGAGAAGAATGTCTCCTTGCCTAGTTATCCTGAGGCTTACAATGATGACCGCCCCCAGCGGCTCCCCGCTCGTTATCACCGAGGCTGCACTGGCGGGGCTGAGTGCCCCGTCACTGAGGAGCATTCAAGCAGACTATGGTCGCAAGGTGGGGAGGGGAGAACTGGGTGACCCCAGAAGCCCTCTTCAGTGCTGACAGAGGGCGGGGTTGGGGCGGAGGGCAGGGGGGGCTCTCTGGTGTGCAGTGGCCAGCTGCTGGAATCACAGAGGTCATTTCAGGGGGCTGTGCGGGGTGGGGTGGGGGCCTCTGGACCTCCTTCCTCAGGTGATGAGGCTCTGGGGACACGGGTGTCACAGCAGCAGCTGGACGTGCTGGGCTGACGGATGGCGGTCAGAGAATCGGTTTTCCGAAGCCCAGTCAGTGGGGAGGGCAGGCAGGCCCTGGGGAGCCTCGGGCTGGCACAGGGAGGGGCTCTGTGCCCAGCAGGTAGGGGGCAGCACCCCTTCCCCAGCTGCAGAGCTCCTCCCAGGGGTCGCCTGCCCTGCCTCTCCCTCGGGCTGGGCCTCAGGCTACGAGACCCTCCCCTGGGCCCTTTCTGGGCTCCTGGGGAGGAAAAGAAACCAAGTCCTGGTGGGAGGGTCGAGCCATTCCAACCTAGAGTCAGCTTCACTGCTCATGGGCCCTGCTTCCCGGGGACTGATAAGCCAGCTCTTCTTTATACTTCCGGTTTCAGCTTAAACATCATCCCTTTAGTTTTAGTTTTGGCCACACTACATGGCGTGCAGGGATCTTAGACCCCCCCGAGCAGGGATTGAACTTGTGGCTGCCTACAGTGGAAGCACAGCATCTTAGCCACTGGACTTCCAGGAAGTTTCATAAACATCATCTCTTTACAAAGACACCCCTCCCCTCCAAGCACCCTAAGGCAACCATCCTTAGCATCCTGGTCACTCTTCCCTGGTTTCAGCACAGTCCCAGGGGCTTTACCCATGCCCATCCCTCCCAGGAGGATGTGAGCTCCATAAGGGAAGGAGCTGGGCTGAAGGAGATGCTGTTGTGTCTCCAGGGCCTGGCACATAGTAGGTACTCAATGATGGTTGAAGGCAGGGGCTCTGGAGGCCCAAGAAAGCCATGACAAGTCTTTATCTTCGAGGAACTAAGAGCGGGGTAGGAGTGTGTTCCAAAAGTACTTTGATTCTGAAGCCGTGAAGAGGCCACAGAAAGGAGGGAAGGAAGGAGGTGGCCTGGGGCGCAGGGTGGAATGAGGGGTGAGGGGATGAGAGGCAAGAGCTGATGGGGGTGGCCTGGGGTGGGCCTCTGCCTCTCGGCCCCCAGGGCTTTAAAGGAGCGTGGGCAGTGCGACTGCCAGGTGGAAGCTCAGCCCTGGTTGCGGGGCCAGGGGTCACCGGTTCCTCCTGCTGTACCCAAGTCCCCCCCCAGTCCCGCTTTGGTTTCGCTCAGAGCCTTTGGCATTGCCTGAGCTCCTTCTTTTGGGATGCCACAGGATGGGCCACAGCGTCTGGCCTGAGAGTGTCAACCCCTTTCCCCCGGGTGACCCCGAGGCAAGCTCTTAACGTCCATTTCACACCCAATCTGTGACCCTGCCGGGGGCTATGAACAGAGGTGCAGAGATCTACGTGTGAACCCTGAGCAGGCACTGCGTATAGCACTTAGCGCTCAGTGACCCAGCTCTCAAGGATCAAAAGCACATTCGTACCCTTATCTCAGCAGGGAAAAGTGAGTCCCAGGAAGAGGTCCTACATTTACCCCGTGTTTAGCTGAGTGCCCAACGTCGTGGCACCTGGGTGGGGAGAACCCACTTCTTTTCTTTGGTTTTAGACTAAGTTTTTGAACGACTCCACTGGAACCCCGCCGCTGCCCTTGATGAATCCAGGCTTGTAGAAGACAGAGCTGGAAGGGGCCTCTCGTAGAGGTCTGGGACCCATGGATCCATTTGGCAGATAAGCAGGTAAAGGCCCAGAGAGGGGCCTCTGCCTGGCCAAGGGCGGACAGAGCCCGGGAGAGACAGAGCAGGTCACGATGTACGTGGGGCAGGAAGTCACCTCGGGGAGCCCTGGGTGTCTCCTGGCCGTGCCCAGGGACCAGAAAATGGAAGGGGGACGAGACAGCGCTATGGAAGGTCTTTTCTCCTTTTTCTCTCTTTTTTCTTCCCTTCCACCTCCCCCGCCCCCCTCCCCAAAAAAGTCCTGGATCTCCCACGACTTGGGAAAATGGCTCGGATCCCGTGTCTGGCTCCAGAGCATTTTATGGCCCTTTCCAGCCCGGGGTTGTGAAGCTCCCGGTGACATGAGCCCCCTTGCGCCACGGCCCTGGCCGGGGAGGGCCCATCCGTCTTCCCCAGCTGGCGGCCGCGTGTGGGAACGGCCCCGCTGGCGGGGCCGCCACCTGTTGCCCTCACTCTGCGTCCTCCGCGGAGGCCGCGCTGGGGGAGGGCCCGGGGTGGACCTCTGTCCCCGAGCAGACCCTGAGCATCACCAACTTTGCCCGGGCGACGAGGCAGCCGTGAGGGTCGGGCTCTGTCCGAGGCCTGGGCTCTTCGGGGGCGGGGTTCCACTGTGTTCCCCCCGGGAAAGGTGGTGGGTGGGTGGAGTGTTCTCAGAGGGGAAGGGAGCCGCCCCGGCTGGGGAGGGGGCCGGGACAAGCAGTGAGGGCGAAATGTGGACCGCAGGCAGCAGGGGAAAGGCAAACCAGGCTGAAGGCCCGGAGCCCTGGCGGGCGGGGTGTGTTTGGGGAGCTTTGCACAGGGGAAGGGATGCGGTTCCTGCCGGGCGTGGAAGATGACCTCGACCACTGAGGACCACGCACCTGGAATCGTCCTGAAAATGATGGGAGTTACTGAAGGTTTCTAGAGCAGGAGAGAGACAAGCTCAGATCTGCATTCCACAAAGAACCTCTCTGCTTCCAGGGTGGAGGCAGGCCTGGAGGTAGACAACGAGGCAGAGAGGGAATGGAGCCCAGGGCAAGGGGTGTGAGGCCAGAGATGCATTTTTGATTTGCTGGTGGGGAGGCAGACAGAGCTGAGAACTGGAACAGAACTGAGGGGCCTCCGTCAGATGCCCCTGGGCTCACGCCCAGCCCGGACACCCCTGATTGTTGTCCCCTCGGCAAGCCACCTCTCCTGTTTCCCCAACGGTGTGGTGAGGGGCTTGGACAGGGGAGGGGTGAAGGACCTTGGACCAAGCCAAGCTGCTCCCCAGATGTGCCGACGGTCGGTGCCCACCTCCCCGAGCCTCACTTTCCCTGTTTGTAAAGCCTCAAGCTCACGAGGGAGTTAGAAGCACCCGCTCACAGTTTGTAAGATGCCCAGCACCGGACCTGGCAACATACCCGGTGGTGCAGGGTGGAGAATTTCTTCTGTTTTAAGCCCCTCCCAGGTTGAACTTGCTCTGTCTCTGGGACAGCTCTCATCGGGGGTTTGCTGGGGAAAAAAAGGCAGGGGTGTTGAAGGAAAATGGTGCCCGAGGGAGCCCTGGGTGGGGTGGAGCAAGAAGGCTGGGGCTCCGGAGGGGCCACTCAGGTTTCAGAGATCCCGGGACCTGCAGAGCTCCGAGGAATTTTCCCAGGCCAGGCGGCAGGCAGCTGGAAGCCATCCGTCCCAGGGAAGAAGGATCAGGGGTCCTGCCAAGGTCTTTCGCTGGGAACAAGAACACAGGGGTGGGGGCAGGATTCTCCCACCCAGCCTGGAAAGATGAAACCCTTCTGCCTGGGCAGCTGCTGGTGAGGACGCCAAAAGCCCAACGGCAGGCTCCTGGGCTCCCCCTTGGGCTGTGACCGGGTTAAGGGCGCCATGCGGAACCCAGGCAGCCCTGGGGGCCAGAGGAGCAGACCTAGAATCCGCCGTCTTCTGAGTCTGAACCACCTCCGGCGTCAACCTGCGTGGGGTAGGGGTCCACGCGCATTGCCCCTGGGGCGCTGAGGTTACTCCTGGGTAGCCAGGGTGCCTCAGGCCTGGAGGCGGGGAGGTGGGAGACAGGGGAGGTGAGAGCCCTTCTCTGGAACCAGCCAAGGTGGGGAGCCCAAGTTCAAGGTCATCTCAGGGTCAGTGTTGTTTACTCTGCAAGGCTGTTGTGAAGATTAGAGATAAAACATGGGGAAACACCAACGCATAGTATTTGCTCAATAGATGCGAATTATGTTACTGAAGGGGATATAGACTAGTGATTAAGAGCACAGGCTGAGGCTGACTTCCTGGGTTCAGAGCTCATCCCTGCCGCTTCCCGGGTCTGCTCATCAATGATCATTCCGGAACCTCAGAGTCCTCAAGGGCTGCACTGGGGACGCTGGCGGGGCAGGGAGCCCTCCGCAAGCACTAGCTGTTATTATTGTGATCGTTGCTACCTACACCCTGTGAGTGCTTTGGGCCCAGATCTACAGAATGAGAACATTTTTTTTTTCTCTTGCCAACTCCAGTAAGAATAACAGCTGCTACTCACGCCTTCCCTTCTGGGTGTCAGGGGCCTGGCCTGACAACTTACATACGTTATCTTGGGAGTCTGCCCATCACACCCGGATATGCTGATTTACTGTTGCATTTGGACAGGCGAGAAAAGAAAGATCTTAGGTCTGTAGAGACTCACCTAGGTCTCGTGGCCAGGAAGTGCCAGGGAGAAGAGATTTCAGGCTAACCTCACGGAGCGGGCTCGGGGAGGATTTCTAGGCAGAGGAAACAGGTGTGAAGACAGTGGGAAGACTGAGGCTGGGAGTCAGGAACCAACATTCTTTATTTGTTCTTTTCATGCCAAGTTATGTTTTATTATTTAAGTCATTCCTGTTACTTAAAACACATACACACACACAAAAAAAACCTTTGATGCTCAAATAATCCACAAATTTACAATGCCACAAACTACATGGGAATTCAGAGAAATTTCACATTCACCTATTTTGTCAGCCCCTCATATGGAAGATCCACCTGAATCTTGGTGTTTCTATAGAATAGAGATTATTTTTACTTGATAATTTACATAAAATAGACAATAACCTTAATTGCAAGATTAGAGTGTTGAGAAAATTTTTTGTCAACCTTTAAAAAAAGGTAAAAAAGTGAGCAGCCCAGAAAGTGAGCAAAAATGGCAATTGACAAAGAAAGCAGCAGAATTAAAGCGGGGCACCCGAAGCCAGTGCTCTGGGACCACCGAGAGGGGTGGATGGAGAGGGTGGAGGGTTCTGGATGGGGGACACGTGTGCAACTGTGGCTGATGCATGCTGATGTACAGCAGAGACCACCACGCTATTGTAAAGTAATTATCCTCCAACTAAAATAAGTTAATTAAAGAAAAACATAACATTTAAGAGAGCAAACTCCGGAGCCAGACTCCTGGGGTTGAAATCTCAGCTCCACTACTTGCTAGTTATTCTTGACCTTGGGTAAGTTACTTCACCTCTCTAACCTTCAGTTTCCTCGCAACACTCTTTTTTGAACACACTTAACTTCCTCAGTCTCATAGTTAAAGAACAGGTGGAAATAGCAGGCACTGGTGGAGTTGGGATGAGCGCAGGCTGAGATCCTGTGTGAGGACCGGGCACAGGGTGAGTGCTGTCAGTGGTGGCCTGCTGGCAGGGAGTTCGTATTGTTGGTATCAACGGCATTGTTGGCTTTTCTATGAGTGTTGACGTTGGCAGTGCGCTGATGTAGTAGGTGTGGCTGTTGTGATTATTGTTGCTGCTGGCGGTGTTGGTGATGTGGTGTTGGAGTTGCTGGTGGTGGTGTAATTGGTGGTACTGTTGATAATGGTGACGCTCCTGTTGTTGATGTTGTTGACAGGGATGGTTAACACCAATGGTATCTGTGTTCATGCTGTTATTGGTGGATGTCAGAGAGGAATAGCTTTGTTAGTGTCTGCAACGTGGAGCTGGAGTTGGTGTTGAGGTTGTCATTGGTGGTGGTATTAATGGTTTGACTGGTGATATTGGGGTTGGGCTAGGGGCTCTTATTATACTTAAAAGTGGCATTGCTGTTACTGGTGTCATCGAAGTTGTTGGTGTTGAGGTTGTTCTCTTCATTGTTACTGACAGTGGTCATGTTCATGTTGGTGGTATTGGTGCCAACAGTATTTCTGGCAGTGGTGGTGCTGACAGTGGTGATGCTCACATGATCACTGGTGCTGCTAATGGTGTTGGTGTTCATGATATAATTAGTGACATTGGTGTTAAGGGTGGTGGTGAGAGCTTCCAGTGAAGGATGTGATCTCCTAGGAAGAAGATTAACTGTGGGGGAGGGACCAGGCTTGATCACTCAAGAGCTTTTGTATAGCAGAGGTTTTTTAACATATAAAAAGGGAGAGAGAAGAAGCCTCTGACACAGACATCGGAAGGGGGACAGAGAGTGCCCCCTCGCTAGTCTTATCAAGGCCCTAGATACTTTTATCAGACCCACACCCACAACATGCTTCTTAAATTAACAAGATTGGAACTGACAATAGAAAGGTCTTACCAGACCCACCTCCACAACCTACCTCTTAAGATAACAAGATTAGTCAGAAGGTTCCTGTTGAGAAGGAGAAGCAAGCCCTCAAGCAAGGGACATTGTTGTTATATAATCATCAGTGCAAAGCTTAAGGGAAAACATACGCTTGGGGTCACGGACACGACTGAGCGACTCAACGGAGCCGTTAGCTCTGGGCTTAAAGATTCTTGTCATAACAACTCAAGAGTTTAAGAAAAATGTCTAATGTGACTGGGACAAAGCAAAGTAGAAATAATATTTGTCCTTTTCTCCTTCTTGAGAGCCCTAGACCCCTCTCTCTCCTCCAGGACCCCTTCCTCCTTGGCCGTCTGGTACTCCTTATCAACCTCTCTAAGAACCGGCTGTCTCAGTGCTATTGGCGTAAACACTGCTGCTGATGGTATCAGTCTTGATGATGATAGCCTCGGTACTCATGTGATCACTGGTGTCGGTGGTGTTGATGCTGGTGGTACAAACATGACTGCTCATCTTGGTAGCAGTGGTGTTAACCTTTTTATTGGTGCGGTGTTGGTGTTGATGATAGTGATGCTAACGTGATCTCGGTGCAGGTGTTAGTCCTGACACGATTACTGGCACTTTCATGAATATCATTGGTGTCAGTATTGGTGGTGGTGGTGCTAGGATGATTTCTGGTGCTTTGTTGGCACTAACATTGTTCTTGGTATTGGTGTGGGTGTTTTTAAAAATTAAGTTTATTTATTTTTAGTTGGAGGATAATTGCTTTACAACACCGTGTTGGTTTCTGCCATACAACAACGTGAATCAGCCACAGGTACACATAGGAACCCTCTTGAACCTCCTTCCCACCTCCCACTTCATCCCACCCTTCTAGTTTTCACAGACCACCGGGTTTGAGCTCCCTGGGGCATGTGGCAAATTCCTGCCGGCTCTCTATTTTGCATGTGGTAATGTGTATGTTTTAACGCTGCTCTCTCAGTTTGCCCCACCCTGTCCTTTCCCCACTGCGTCCACAGGCCTGTTCTCTCTGTCTGCATCTCCACGGTTGCCCTGTAACGAGGTTTGCCAGTATCACCTCTCTA